ATTGGTAGGCGGTATCATACTTGACAAACAAATGAGAATTAGTCTTCAACAATAGGCGTGCAGTTTCTAGCAGCTCATAAATAATTACGACAAAAGTACAGTACGAAGAAAGAAAAAAAGAATAAAAATTTTAAATTAAAATCTATTAAATTGCGTAGACAATATTTGAAATTTTGGCTAACGCCATGGACGTAATTGCTTTCATAATGATAATTAACAATTTACAATGGTTGCAAACATCTTTGGATAATCACTAACGTAACAACAACCCTTTGTAGGGTTAACAATGCAACAGAAACAATAATTGCAAACGCTTCTTACTTTATCAATAATTTATCGCAAAAAAAGCAAACAGTGATGTTATTTACGTAACAAAGGTTTAACATCGTAACGTAGCTCATGCGAGAACTCGTACTTATGCTTTATACTTATTTATATGTATACTTATTTTTCGCTCAAAACCGTAATTCCGGTTGTTCATTTTGGCATCCCGCGGGTTCCCGTGCGTATTTTCAATTTCAAATCTTGTTGCTTTTTAAAATGTCCCGAATCCTAGCCTTCATAAAAGACAAATCTAGGATCCCGGAAAACCTATCAATAACCCTTGAAACGCGGTCTTGAAATTCGCGATCGTTGATTGCCCATACTTCCACTGGTCTCATAGTTGCATGATTGACATGTGTCATTTGCCATACATTTGACAGCGCACTCTGTATTATCCTCTACCCGACTTGTATCAAAAGTGTGACCAGTCAAGGCAAAATCTACCAAAATAAAGTCGGAGAATAAAAATCCCATGTTAAAGACGTCCTTCGCCGTAAAATTCATTGTAGCAACACGTTCCTATGTCCAGAGAATTCCAGCCTCCGAATGGCTAAGTGGATTTCTGATCTGTGAAAGTTACCCATTGAAATGGTCACCTTCAACACACCGACGTTGAAACCATTGATGACTCGGGGTTCCTTTGGAATGGCCAGGTCTAAATCCATGAACCTTCTGCTTAATTTGGCTACAAACCTATAATAGCACTTTCGGACAGCATGAACATGCGTTGTTGACTTACGGCAGGCCCATAAATTCAAATTGTTTTCAGAATTTTTCCGAATAAAAGTCGAGTATCAAATACAACATCGGGGCAGGTTTTTATGTGCACATCCTAACACATTTTAGCAGAACTGAACGAACAAAGACTATATTAACACGTTAGAAACGCCCAAATATACGTTATGACAGCTCCTTGAAATGTAGAAACTACGCTGAAACAACGACAGCATGTACCTGTGAACTGATCATCGATTGACAGTCCCCAAGCGTGGATTTGGGGGACAGATGACCACTTCAATATACAGTAACAAAATGATTTGCGATTAACTTAAGGGGGAGTCTGGTTAAAAGCATTTTTTGTCTATTTCTGCCCCTTTTCTTAAATATCTAGCCAATAGTTCATTCAATCGAAAAATGACTCGGACGATTTGTTTAATAATTTTTGGGAGAATTTTTGGATGATTTTTTGAATGTTTTTAATGTATAAAAATTAGGGGGTATTGAGAATTTTGGAAAACAAGAAGGTATTGGATTTGAGGGTTGTTGAAAATTAGATATGGAGTAAATAATTAGTAGACAAATACCAGACAGTCCGCAACCACAAGGTGCCTCTGATACCATAAGATTATGCATATACCACCTTTTCTACCCTGATTCATTTCCTTCCCGAACAATATATCTTAATTTCCCCAAAATACACCCAGACTGTCCCCTTAAAGCCATAAAAAAGATTTTTTTATTTCTTACCGTTACTAAACGATAAATTGTCTCTCTCACACACTTACGTTGTTTGCGTTTTGCCCATGCGCGTTGCTATAATTCAACCACGGTAATGCGGCCACCCGTAAATTCAGGTGCATGGAAATCTTTCATTTAAATTACAGCTTAAACTATACTGAGTAAGCTGCTTCAATGCTACATATCAAAAAGAAAGGGAAAAAAAGGAAAATGACATCGTTCATGACTATTTTAAATCCCTTTAGCCGTTTATTCAAAGATTAAAACAGGAGCCCATTACTTATCCGCTCCTGGTTAAAATCTGCCATTCTATTTCAAAACAGGGTCCGGTGCTTACACATAAAAAGATCAAGATAGTTGAGAACAATTACAAACAAACAAAAAAAAAAGATATACGAGGCTGAAGAAAAAAACATTACACTTTGTTTAACTAACGATGCGCACTCGAGCAAACTCTCACGAAAAAGCTAATATTGATTGGCATTGCTTAAAATATTTCATTAAGGGGGCATTGCAGCGGTTGGTTTTTTGGGGAAATAATGTTGATTTGGGAAGGAAACAAATTAGGGTGGAAAAGCTATACAAATAAACCAGTTAGTCCGCTAATGGGATCAGAGGCACCTTGTGGTGGTGGTGGTGGACTATCTGGTAATTGTCTACTAATTATTCACTTCGTATTTTAATCATTGTAACAACCCCCAAATTCAATATTTTCCCATTTTCCCAAAATTTTAAACATCTCAACCCCCCCCCCTAAATTTTATACATTTGAAACATCCGAAAAATCATCCAAAAATTCACAAATGTTTATTGATTTAAGGACTGTAACTTAATTGAGTCATTTTTGGATTGAATGAAATCTTGGTTAGGTATTTAAGAAAAAGGGTGAAAATCAACGAAAAATAATGCTTTTAACCGTACTGCCCTCTTAATTTATCTCAAAGATGGAGAAGAAAGCTAAAATTTATCAGCAGTGCTTAAAATCTTCAATTTTATCTCAAAGATGTAGAACAAAAATTCCATGCCTTTGAAACAGTTGAGACAGGTGAACCTAGGATTCTGAAAGAGTCTTAAGTGCACTGCACGTCACAAGTTTGCAAGTCATGATCAAGACATGATGATCAAACACGTACCTGAAAAACTTTCAAAAAATTTACCACAGGAATCTGGTGCAGATGAGAGTAGAGATGTCCTCAAGAATATCAGTATGAATGGAATATAAATCGATAGAAACATGGTGACAACAATCGCTACAAATACAACAAAACAAGAAACGGTAACGAATTTAAATACAAAAGTGTCTTTTACAATATTTACTGCAAAAAAGTCATAACTAGTATGTTAACGAAAACAGAAACAATCGAGCTGAAATGAGCTTCTTACCTAACTTGTCTAACCAAGAATTAACCAAATCATTCTCATCTACAAGAATCCAATCTATCCTTATACACGCTTACACGCGAATGAAATTAGGCCTGAAATTATTGCTATGGACTAGGGGTACCTTCCGGCAAGTGCCAACGAGGCGAATTCGTTTATCTTTTGTGGAATGTGCCTATTTAGATCTTCGCGATATATTTTTTCATAATTTTAGAGGTTTAAAATGGATTCCGCTATGGAAAAGGATGGCACCCAACTTCAAAACAACAACTTTGGCACATTCTAGGCTTTCACTTATATTAAACAATAACAACATGGCTTGAAGCTTTGTTTTCCTCACTTTAGCTTCACTTTCATCCTCAACGTTGTTATAAAAAAGGTGCCTTAAAAGAAAAAACTGTGTAATTTTCTTATCATGTAGAGTACAGATTCATCGATTCTGTAAGTATGTTAAACACAGTCAAGCAGACAGCAGTTTTTATCCCTCATTTTCAGCGAACATAGATCTTCCAGAAATCTTCTGAAGAAATTGCAAAGACATTGCCTCCTGACTCATCACAGAGCCATAGTTTGTTATAAGCAACCCAGTGATAGCGGTGGGCAACAAAGGCTGAACGGTCGTACATTCGTTGTTCTTCGTTTTTGTTGAAGTGACCCCATTTTCCAACATAATGTGATCCATCGTTTCCCCATCGGTGACACTGTTGAGCTAAATACGAGTTGTCGTCCTTCATTGTAATGAACGAGCCACATGAAGCAGGCAGGACACTTGATTGACCGCTGAAATACTGGACAACTGCTTCCCCAGTGCTGTTATTGACCGTGATGACGTGAAAGGTGCGCCCATTTTCTTTACTACAGTGGAATCTCAGTTGAGTGAAGTTCAAGTGCGACCTCAGTTGACGCATGGCACTTGTACTAATGCCCATTAAGTTATTCTGATAGTTGCTGATCCCGCGGTATGAAATTTCAGTGGTCCAAGCAGAGGAAGAGTCGGCTTTCTTTAACGTGGCAACATTAAGCCAGCCTCCTGAAATCAACATGATTTTTTTTTTATTTCCAGATGCAAGCATCCTTGCAGTTTTATTACTTATGAGCTGAGTTAAATCTAGATATTTGGCTATGAGAATTGACGAGTCTGAAGTCATCAACGTAATTAACCTAGAACATTTAAAAGGAATTTCAACGAAGCCATGGATTATTTCACCTATCCCTCCCATTGTATTAGTATAGGTAATAGCATGATTTGTAGTGATATTTGGCATAAATACCACGAGTGATATTTCGAAATTGTCATACGTAATTTGAGACAATTTTGAAATATCACAAGTGGTATTTATGCCAAATATCACGTACAAATCATGCTATTATTCGTTTATACTACTTCCCACAAAAGGTTTGTAATTTTCATATGTAGGTATTTCAAATTAAGCTGAAATACCACTGCTCTAAGCCAATCAAATTGCAGAAATTTCTCGTGTAGTAGTATAAGATAGTATTTTAAAAAGCCATAAGTGTAATTTTACTGCGAGCAGATTTTTGGAGTTTAAGAAACCGAGAACTCCACATGGCAACGCACGGAATTACTGGACAGAAAGGAAGATCGAAGAATCGATATTAACTGTTTGGGTTAAATTGTCAAAATGTGATGTTTCACTTGAAACCAAATTAAAATTCCCTAAACATTTCAAACATCTATTCAGGAAAGGTGACCTAAAGGTGTGGACGAACAGTATATAATACAAACTATTTAACTAAAACTACAAGGCCTAGGGACAGTCCGCAGGTCGGAGTCTACAGCTTAGTGTAGGTTGGTGGTGAGTAGGCCGCCTGTACGAAACAGGTAACACGGTCTCTTATTGGAAACTTCAACACATACGATCTAATGATTAAACCGGAGAGTGTTGCGCAACAGGAAATGCCTCGCATTTAAACGACATTATGACAGCTCTTCATCTTTTCACCATTATGTTTGTAACCTTTGCGCATAATAGGCAATTCCCCCGGGCCTCTGTATCAAAACGAGGTTTAAGTGCTTCGCCTTTCATATGTAAATGATTTCTCATTCTCATGCAGATAAAACTCTTTTTCTCAAAAAAAGGTTGTGCACTTGGCCTCATTTTGAAAGTGAGGGTTTTTGGAACATTTGGAAGTGGGCTATTGTTCATCCCATGGCGGTTATGAAATGCTCTACAACAACCAATTACGACGGCGGGCGCAAAAAAATAGAGTCTTCGTTTGTAGAAACCTGCTGGATGGTAGCTCACTTCATTCATTCTTTTCACAGGAAAGGAGCTTAAATGATTTGAAGAAATTTCCTGAACGTTTGGTGTGCATTTTATAGCTGCCTTGGGCTTTAAAAGAGCAAGTAGCGTCCCGAAGTTGCAATTGGCAACTGATTTCCAGTGTTTGTGAAACCCCTGCCTTTTTCAACGAGTTGACAAATAAGACAACAGACATATTTTTTTTCTGTACCTCCATCAGTTGTCATATCACAAAGGACTTTTAAAGGCCTGCTATTTTTCTCAGGGTCGATCCAGTACTCTCCGTCCCTGTAGAATCACCAGAGTCCCGGATGTGCTTGCAGGAATGACCAGGACTTGAAGAGAAATAACCAAGTTTCTCTAGACACAGAAGGAGAAAAAGAATCTATTGAATTTTATATATTAAATCTTTCCTAAACTAAATTTAAAGACAATCAAACAGTGAAACGTGTCACGAGGTTACCGTCTACATTGAAGCAAAGAAAAAGAAATGACGGGAGACAATACCCTTTAAACGCAAACCTTAAAAAGCTATGTCATGTTAGTTGCTATCTTTATGTAAAGCTAACTGAATGTGTCTTCGCATCAATATCTAAGACTATAGTTAGGCATTGAAACTGTTCCCTGTAGTCAGTTATTAAGGATGGCATGGATGGACGTGTCTTGAAACTTGAAAAATATTGGGCCCATTTTTTTCAAGTTTTAATCAGTGCTCAGTGCCCGCAAAAATCACCATTATTATTAATTATTATTGTTTAGTGCTCCCTAATGGAACTTGTTTGATATCTTCTTTAACGGATCATTTTGTGCTTGGGTGATGGCACTATTTTAGTGATGAGTTTAGCGTGACAGACCTAAAATAGCGACATCCCTGTGATCCATAGCCACTATAACAAAATCGTTGCGTTTTCCATTATACTGACACCAAGAGAGGATAAAGGGGACAGAGAAGGCATCCCCCATACACACCCTATTCCATAGGTAATTCGTCTCGAGTTATTTTTAGAACCGGAATAAAGTTACCTCGCGCGCTGCGTGGATGTTTCGTGGAGGTTTCGCATGACTAAACGCCGTGCAAAACATGTCGGGCGAAAGGCAGTGAAAGCGTAAAGAGATCGAGAGCATTCCTGAATATTGAAGCGAAATGAGTCGGCGCTCACCTGGGAAAAGAGGATCAGTTTAACTCGAAGTTGTCGTAACCTCAGTGCTTTAAAAAATGAGAAATTTTGCCGGTCTATTGAAACCGGTCGTTTGTACAATAAAGCAAGTAGGACGCCAAGTGTTATTTTTGTTGAATAATAAAAGACTAATAAAAGAATAAATATCAAACCAGAAATGGCTCTCTTCAAACCGTAAATTATAAATGATCCTGAGAGAATATTCAGTGTGTTTAGGATTTCCCTGCTGTACTGTTAGCTCTATACAAGAGAGGAAGGGAAAATTAATTTTCGTTCGCTAACACAGCTTTAGCAGAAATCTCGCTGTAGTCGTTTTCGTCGACAAAACGAATAGCAATGTCGCTCTCCGCGTCTTCCGCCATTTTGTTCTGCGTCAATTCGTGAAGGAAGCGTGGTTCTGAGCGGGAATCATCCACGCGGAACACATTCACGCTATGTGATTGGCTGTTGTCTAATCCCCTTTGGGATATGTGGTCTTAAAAATAACTCGAGACGAATTACCTATGGAATAGGGTGTGTATGGGGGATGCCTTCTCTGTCCCCTTTATCCTCTCTTGACTGACACCCATTGTCTCTTATAATGAACAAGAGAGTGAACTATGCTTAATCAGGTGAATAAGGTGGATCAGTTCTGCTGACAACCGGTCTCGTTACTTTGGTTTCTTTTGACAAACAGCGAGGTACCAATTCAATAATCTCACACTCACTTGATTGACAGGTCACGCCCTTGAATCCAGGAGGACATGAACATTGATTTTGATGTGTTATCCTTTGTCCGCTGTTTTGACAGATAAACTTGAAATTCGCCACCTAAATTTAAAACGTTTGAACTTTAGCTTTGATGGATGAAGATGGTGAATTTTTACAGAGGCCAAGGGCGAAAGAAAAGATTTAAAACTGATCATACTATAGCATCCATTGACGAGTGATGGGAAGCCTGATGACTTAAACTTGAAACATTAACATTCACATTTCTTGTTTTGTCTCCTTCGAATGACAAAACTAAAATAGATATTAGGTATATGTAGAATGATCAGAAAAAAATCCGAGCCCTCAAGAGAAATCGGATCCACGACTTTCCAGTTACGGTTGGAAGCTTTAACTCCTCAGCAATGGGTGACTCATGTGATGAGCAGGTCGCTAGCTTGGGGTGTTCTAGATCTCTCTTACCCATGTCATAAGACCGAAGTTTCTCTTTTCCTTTTTATTTCATATAACATCTGACATGCAACTGACATTACTGATGATCATCTTGAATACTCTGAAATCCTACACGGAAACCAGTAGAGAAACATCAATATTCCGCAATAAACTTTCTCCTACTCCGATCTGACCTTTAAACTCGTATATTTCATATCAACTTCTACATTTCTTAAGCTATTTGTTTGATCAGTCATTTTATCTCAGTTCAATCAATCAATCAGTCAATAAACCAATCCGTTAACCAAGCATTTAATAAAATCAACAACACAACAAGCCTTTATTTCAAGCATGATGTTCACATAGTGCATACCTGGCTAAGCTCAAAGTAAGTCGACCTTTCGTCTGCCTCGTAGTTTTTCGGTTTAGACTTCCTTGTCTCTGCCTTCAAATGACACACGTGTAATCTTGAATTTTCAGGAATAAAACAGTTGTATGACTGACAGCTCACATATCGCAAACATCGTAATCCGCACTCAATACAGGAACCTGCAGAGTAATAACTGATTGTGGGGCTCAAAAGAGAGTAACCTGGAATTAATGAAGACAGCCAGTTAGACAGACATATTTTTAAGGAATATTAAAAACCCGTTTGTGATTCACGTCGTAAAAAGTTTCGTTTTTGAATTCATGATAATAATCCAATATATAGATCTGAAATCATTTTAGTAGATGTGATGTTTTTCAATAATTTCTAATGGACTAGCTCATTTAAGATAATACTTTTGGATGATAATAAACAATCTTACTACAAGACATACATGGATGTTCGGCTTTGCACAATCATTCTTAAATCGATAATAGTTCTTCTGAGTCAGACGTGATCAAGACATCAAAGTACTTATACTGCATGTGCGTTTTCTGCAATTTGATTGGCAGAGAGCAACTGTATTTCAGCTTTCAGTGTTTTAAAAAATAATTACATATTTTGTTGCGATTATAGTATCACTCGTGACATTTCAATAGTTACACTGAATTTCACTCGCCATTTGCCATTGCATTTTGACATATTATTGATAGCATTAAATATCCCATGAAATACTACTATGAATCAAGCTATTGTACTACTGATTAAAAACTGAATGGGTTATTGTGAAAAGAAGGAAATTGCCTCAACAACTCTTAAATCGCCATTGATTGAAATTTTAATGCTGATTAGTAAGAGATCTTCTTTGAAAAGCTCAGTAGAGTTTGCTAAGACCCCCTGCATCTGATTGTATACTTAAAAGGATTTTGTGACAAATGTTGGGCGAAATAAATTAATAAAGGTTGCAAATAATGTTAATACTTTCTATCATAGAATCCTTGTAAGTTTATCTTATTTGCATTTATCGATATGTTTCAAAGGGTTTCAGTGCTTAAATGTAATTTGTAATCAACACCACCTTTTAAACCAAAAATATTTAAGTTGTTTTACAAAGCCAGGGGTTGGAACATCTTCTCTTCAAATTTCTGCGTTTTTGTTGAACAAACATTTTGTAACTTGTTGTGGCTATAACCCGTTAAGGCTACTGGCCCCAGTTGTTCGAAAGGTGGATAGCGCTTTTCACTGGATAAATTACTATCCACTGGAAAGCGCAATTGGTTTTCGTAATACTGTTATCCTCTGAATAGCGATTTATCCGGTGGATAGTGCTATCAAGATTTTGAACAACTGGGGCCTGATGTCTACGCTAGCCGGATAGTTCAGTTTTGATGACGACATGAACAGCTATCCTGCCCAGAATATCCGTTAAACACCTGTTCGTACTGCGCCAAAGAGTTGCAAAGAAACTTATCATGTCGATATGTAGGGGTGGCGAATGATAAATGCGAGACTTTGCGAGACGGCGAGACTAGCGTTTTTCTTTGCGAGCCCGAGACATTTTGACTTTTTAGATTGCGAGACCGAGACTTCAAAGTGTTTTGAGTGCGAGCGCGAGACGTTTAGACTCTTAACATTCGAGCCCCAGATTTGGTTCAGAGCTATGAGAAGATATTACAATGAGCTAGAATTAGCTTGTACAAAAGTCTTACGAAGGAGGCTTTTGTTGTAAACCTGTCGACAGTCAATATAAAACTCTATTATTTTCCTGGCCATGACCTAATTTCCGGTCAGGAGGTTACACTTGGTCGTTTGCCTTTGATTTTTTTGTGACTGACGCGCTGTCACTTACATTTGTCTGGAAGTCGTCAAAAAGAATGCGCGGCTGTGTTTGAACTCAGTTGAAGCTAGTTGAGTGGAAACGTTCATGCATTTTAAAAAATGGTTTTAAAAAACCATGGAGGAAACGGAAATGGAGGAAAAGTCGTCTTCTTCTCATAGGAAACGAAAGCACGAATCACGGAAGTACTCTATTAATGTTTGTATTTATCAATGTGCCGACAATTCGTCTTAGTCTATCAAAAGAACTTCAATCCCGGATTCGAAAAAACAACCACGCCATGCTTAACCAGTTAGGTCCCACGGTTCATCATTCATCCAGGTTCGATTCTATTACTATAAGCTAAGCTAAGCTACAGTACTATAGCTAATTATGAAAGGCATAGGCTGCAAGTTGCATTTATGGTGGTTTTAGCTGGGATTGTTTGCTCAAGATGGCAAAAGCTGGCAAAATAGGTCAAAATATTAAAACTACAATGAGCGGCAAACCAGGTCTAGCTCAGGTCCGTGACATCAATTCATAATTTAATTCATGAGGCGCTCCTGGTCGCCGGAAATATTATCTGATTACAACCTACAGCTTTAAACATTTATACATTTGCCGTTCTATTTTTTTTAAAGTTTGCTTTTCTAACCTATTCTGTTTCACATCATTGCTGCGGAAGAGCGCTGTATGCATGGATACTGTGTTCTATAGCTTTCTATG